TGATTCCATTTACTTGATGCTCGTCAAAGAAAATCTGTAAAACGCTGAAATCTGCACAGATTTAGATTTTTGATGAATGGACAAAAGTGATGCTGATAGTCGTTCTGTTAGTAACGAGACTGAATCACTCATCGATCAGCTCTGTGATCTTCATCGGAGCAGCTGTGATGCTGCAGCTTCCTTTCAGCCCAGATTCTCCTGGAGAAAAGTTTTCAACCTGAACCGCTGCTCTCTGTGGTAAAAGTACTCTATTACAAAGTAAAGTACTCAGGCTGGTAACAGAGTATTTCTGCCCCTCAGTACTGATACTGGTAAACTTCCTGTTTGCTGTATAAAATTCTCCTGACGGGAACTGTGTCCTCTCAGACGGATCAATACCTGATCAATAATTAATGTGACCATGATGAGAGTCAGAGCTGCTGCCTCAGCATCCATCATCTCTTCTCTTTGATCCACTGCTCTGATTGTACCAGCATTCTGGTTCTGGTGGGTTCTGGTGTGTTTTTCTGGTGCTGGCTGCACCTGCTAATGTGGGTTGGGGATGGACACAATAACAGGAACAGCTGCTTGTGTTTCAGAACTGATTTGCTGCAGGGAGTTGTAGTTCTTGTGGTTTTTTTTGTTTTTTTTTTAATGTTGAAGCTGTTGGTTCTGCTGGGACTGTGTGGGTCTAAACTGGTTTGTAGTTGGTCCAGTTCTAGCTGTCAGACCGTGTTGCAGCTGCTGTGTTGGTTGTCGGGTCCATGAAGTTCCCCTCGCAGTCTCTGTTGTGGAGTTTGGTCTCCATGGAAACGTCAGGCTCAGCTTTGTTCAGGATCTTTGAGTTCAGCTTCCCTCAGACAAAAACGCACAAAGTCTGCTGATCTCAGCACAGATCCACCGTTTAACTGGTTCACTGCATCACACAGACGCTCTGTCACACGTTCAACACGCAACACGTTCAACGCGCAACGAGTTTAACATGCAAAATGTTCAAAATGCAACATGTTCAACACACAACACGTTCAACACGCAACACATGTAACACGCAACAAGTTCAACACGCAACATGTTCAAAATGTAA